CCTGGAAGAGGCCTCATGCCACGCCCTTCCCTGCCTCAGGGCCTTTGCACTTGCTGTTCCTTTGACCCGGGGAGCTCTTCCTCCTGCACCCGAGTGCCTACTTTCTCTTACCCTGCAGGCTTCAGTTCAGAAACCTCTTCACAGAGGCTGTCTCTGACCCCCGTTGCTAAAATAGCTGCCCAGCCACATGCCCTCACCTGCTTCTAAGCTGCTCTGTTTCCTTTCTGTCTCCCTGATAGCATCCTACAGGGGTGGGTTATCTTTCTGATTTGCCAGTTGACTTGTGCCTCATCTGTGTCCCCTACTAGGAGTTCCCAGGCAGGGGTCTGGTGTCTCTCTTGTTCCCATGCACGAGCTGGTGCAGAGCAAAGTCAGTGTGGGCCTCAGTTTCCCCATCTGTAACATGGGCAGATTGCTAAAGTCATTCAGCCAGTGGATGGCATTTTTTGAGCACCTGCTGTGTCCAGACACAGGTATCGGGGATACCTTCACAGAAGAGGGCCCTGATTCTGGACCTGAGAAGCTGACAGTCTAGAGTCTGGTGTCGATAGGCCATGAGGGCCCAGTGTTCTCAGCGCTCTGAGAGGGGAGCCTAGTGGACACGGAGGAGGCTGCTGAGCTCCCGCTCCAGGGGATGGGGTCAGGGAGGCCTTCCTGGAGGTGGTGATTACCAAGCTATGAGATATGCAGGGGTGTGGTCAGGCAAGGGGGTGTGTGTGTGGAAGACAATGCACCAGGCAGAGGGGACGGCCCAAGCAAAGGTGGCAGTGTCTGTCTCACAGCTCTCTGTGCCTGGCACAGATCCTGGCACAAGGACGTGCCCAGTAAAGAGCTGGGGAGTGGGTGAGCTTTTCTAGTTTACGGGTGGGGAAACTAAGGCCCAGGGAGGTTTCACAGTCCACTCAGAGCTCTGACTTGCCCAGACAAGGCCCATTCTGCCTCCTTGGAGCACCCCACGGAAGGCCACTCCATGGGTGTCCCTCTGAAGGCTAGGACTATGCTGTGATGGGGCCACAGCCCAGGCTTCTCCAGCCACATGAAAGGCTTGGGATATTTTTGCCAGGAGGGCAGGCCCCAGTGGCCCGAGGGCTGTGTAATTAGAGGTGGCTCCGAGCCCACCAGAGGCTAGAGCTGGGGGCTGTTCGGCAGGGCGGGGGCACAACTGTTAATTGTACGGTGGGCACAGGGTGGGGTCTCTGAATGGCTTCACGGCTGGAATTATAGGTTGCAAACGAGTGGCCTGGCCTGTTCTGTGCCACAGGCCTGCCCGCGCCCCTTGGAGCCACGGCTCTGTGGACCATAGGGATCATCTGGGCTGGGCCCCACAACAGGTCCCAGGAGCGGAAAGTGTAGAACGTGAGACCTTCGGAGAAAGAGTGGCTGGAGAAAACTCTCAGAGCACGAGGTTGTCCAAACCCGGGAATACAAGAGTGGTGGTCAGAGTGGTCATGCGCACATCAATAAGCATTTATTGAGCGCCTATTGCCTGCGAGGCACTTTCCTCGATGCTGGCAGTGCACAAAACAGACTCCGCAGACCGGGCTCATCTACTCTTTGTCGATAATAACCTTTAGGAACTGCTCTGAAGGTGCTGGGTTCCATCTACCTCAGGGCCTTTGCACATGCTATTCTCACTGCTGGGACTCCTCTTGCACGCTTGCCTTCCTAAATACCTCCTCATCTTCATGAGCAGCTCTACTACTGCCTCATGGAAGCTCCCGTGAACTCTGGGACCAGACTAGCTCCCTATAGCGCCAGAACCGCCCCATCCCAACTCTTAGCCCAGTGTGCAGTTAGATATTCATTCGTTTGTTTACTTGTTTATTGCAGGTCTGCCTTCTCTGTAAGCTCTGTGCCTGTGCTTGCTGGTCACTGCCTCCCAGAGCCGGACACTGGCTGGGTATAAAGTAAATGTCAAGAGAAATTTGTGGGGCGAATGAAGGGCTGAATGTTAGGGCATGGGAACCTCAGTGCTGGCGGGCTTGTGGCAGACCTCTAGTAGGAGCCCACATTGCACTGCGGCCCAGAGAGGGGCAGGGATGTGCCCAGCCCCCCACCGTTGAGGCATGGGCTGGGGCTGGGACTCAAGGATCCTTTTCCTCCCGTGGGTGCCTGACATTTTTGCTGTCCTGGGAACTGTGGGTTGGGACGTTGGGCTTATGGGGAACACGTGTGCCTTTGTGTGCGTGTGCGTTGACACGGTCTGACGGGGCCTTCAAGGGCCAGATGGAGGTAGACCAGGGGCCCTACTGTGGGGAACGGGCCCTTTGGTGGTGGGAGGATCACTGGCCGGGCAGTTTCATTTCCAGATGAGACACAGCTCTGGATGCCCCCAGTCTGGCCTATGGGGTCCTGGCCAGGCCACACCACTGTGAGCCTCAGTTTGTACCTCTGTCCAGGGGGCTCTGCTTGTGTATCCACCTCTCCCCGAGCTCCTATGGGGCCTGCTGGGCCTGAGGCACCGAGGTAGGCTCCGTGGAGGGCAGGAAAATTCTGTACCTTGCAGAGTGGATGACTCCAGCTCTGCCCGAAACGAGAAATACTCTTCAATCTCAGCGTGGGAGACCGGATAATGCGGGATAATGCGCCTCCCCCAGAGACGCCCACCCCCCCATCCCTGGAAGCTGTGGATCCCAGGGGTCCCTGGCCTGGCGAGAGGGCTTTGCAGAGGTGATTAAGTTAAGGAGAGCAGATGGGGAGACATCGTCATGGGCTACCTGGGTGGGCTCAGCGTCATCCCTGGGGTCCTTGAAATCGGGAGAGAGTTTGGAAGAGGGCCAGGGGGATGGCGGCCTCCGCCTGCTGCAGCCGGCTGTGAGGACGGAGGAGCCTAGGAGCGAGGAATGCAGGCGGCTTCGAGATCCCCTCCCCCCGAAGCCTCTGGGACGAGCTGACCCCGCGGCCCACACCGGCCTTTCAGCGGAGGGAGACCCATTTCTGCCTCCGGACTGCTGGCACCGTTAGAGAACAAACGTGTGTTGTTTTAAGGCACGAAGGTTGCGGTCGCTTGTTACAGCGACTGTAGGAAACTCATACACTTGGCATCTAGGCCATTTCCTGGCCTCCAGCTCCTCCGACTTTTGCCAGCAGCCTTGTGAGCAGCAGAGAGTGTCTGTCCTCGGTTTACAGATGACACAGCGGAGGCTCCGTAGGGGCCGGGACACAGTGGAAGCGGAATCTGAACCCAGGACTGTCTGCCTGTGGGTCGGCTCGGCTGCTCTGCCGCCAGAGGAGGAGCAGAGCCGGAGTGGCCGTCAGGCCTGGGGGCAGGCCCTGTTTGGGAGAGCCGTGGCCCTGCCTCTGGATTTCTCAGGGGCAGGTTCCCCGCAGCCCTCAGACGCTGCAGAGGGGCTCCTCCCCGGGGCTCCTGGGGTGCCCCCTGGCTGTCCGGAAGGTGGGTTCAGCTGCTGCACGCGTCTGTGGGCGGCCCCTCGCACCTGGGGGCGTATGTGTCTGTGCGGGTCCGCGGGTGGGCAGCTGTCTTGTCCCTGCAGGATGCCGGGTTTTGGAGGGGGGCGGATCCTGAGAAAAAAAAAGGAACTTGTCTGGTTTTATTTTCCAAGCAGACAACTGTCCCCCCACCCCGGCCTTTATGAAGGTGAGCAGGGGTTGCTGGGCCCGCTGGAAGGAATGACAGTAATCTGGAGCCCTGTCGATTCGTGTCCTCCCCTCCCATGTCCCATACCTCCCGTGGCTTCCGACTGCCTCCTGGATGAGTGACCTCCTGACACTTAGCCTGGTTCCTGATGACTTCAACCCTCATTACCTGCTCCTCCCCTTTGTCCACCTGGGGCTCTAGCCTAGTGTAACCCGCATGGCATTCGGGCCGCTATGCCTCCGTCCACCTGGTCCTTCCGTCCTTCCGCTGGGGACTCTCGGGAGTGTCTCTCTCAGACTCCGCGTGCTCACAGCCTCATCCTCCAGGATGACTTCCCTGCCTCTTTCTCTCAGGGGACCTCCCCTGCCCTGGGGTTCCCCGAGCCCTGGGCCTGACCTCTCTCCTCCAGTCCTGTAAAAAAGTCATTCGTGTACGCATGAGAGCTCCTCGAGAGCCGGCTTGTATCTGTTCCCCTGAAACCTGATGGGCACGGTGCCTGGCACACGACGGATGTTCAGTAAGCATTTGCCAAGTGAACGAATGAAGTGGCGTGTGGATGAATGAATGAATGCACGCAAAGGGCTGCAGAGCCGCTGGAGTCATCGGGTCAGCCAGAGATCTCAGCTCCAGGGGCTGCTACTGACTTGCCTCAGTTTCCTGGCTGAGCCGCTTGACTACACCCTGCCTCACTTTGCCCACCTGTGAAGTGGGCCCCGACTCCCGCTTGGGCTACTCCATCTGGGGTCCTGTCAGGCCACAGATGAGGTGCCAGAGCCCAGGGGGAGCCCAGAAAGCTTCCTGGCCACAAAGAAGCAAACCGAGGCTGGGACAGGGAAGAGCCCAAACGGGGCTGGACAGTGGGTGCTTGAAGCCCACTCCCTGCCCAGGCCTGGACCCTCCGTGGGGCCTCCGCTCACGCACTCCCTCAAACACACTCGGCTCCCACCCTGCCCCCGAGCCTCTGGAAAACCTGACTCACAGCTGGAACCCAGCACCAGCTGGAACCCAGCACCGGGGACTTTCCTCCTCACTTTCAGGGGCTCCCCAACCTCCCTGACCTTGGTCCCCTTTGGAAGGGAGGCAGGCCCTGGCTCCCCGCTCTGGGGGTGGGGGTGGTGGGGAGCGCTGCAGGACAGCCCTGTCTGTCTGCGGGGGCCAGCGCCAGGGCCCCAGGGTCAGGGAGGAAGTGCCCCATCTGGTGTCCCCCCAGAGCTGGGGGGCACTGCGCCACGAGCACGCGCGGGGTGGGGGGGCAGGGGGGCGTGCAAGCTGGAAGCAGGGGTATCGTGTGTGGCCGAGCGCAGCCCCGCCCCTCCCCTGTCCCCACCCCAAACTCTCCTAATGGAATCAAGCTGGCCCCGCAGCCCAGCCACCGGGCGGAGGGAGGAGGCGGGGGCAGGAGGGTGGGCGGCGGCGCCAGCCCCGGCAGCGGCAGCTGGCACTCCCCGTCGCTCCACCTGGCGGGAGCACCCAGGCCTGCGCGGAGGGACTGGTGAGTCCCCGGTGTCCCCTCTGCGTCCCCTCTGTTCTGGGAGCCTCCGGGCGCCTTGGGGGTTTAGGGCCGGAGGCCGGCACAGGCACTTTGGGGGGAGTCTCTAAGTTCGTGTGCATTCCGAGGGCGTGTTGGATGCTGTGTGCGCCTGGCATCTGTGCTAAGGGTTTGGTGGCGGAGTGTGAGTGCACCTCCTCTGTGTCGGGGCCAGTGTGCGCGTGTGCAGTGGTGGCCTAAGTGTAGGGGAGGGGTTCTCCAAAAGTGGGCACCCGGGTAGTTGTCCCGGCATCAGCGGGAGGCTCCTGTGGACCGGGATGTCCCGTCTGTCCGTCTGTCCGTGGTCTGTGGGGGAACCGAGTGTGTGTCGGGGGATGGCTGTGCGTCCTCTGTGGATCCGTGCTGATGGGCTGTGCAAACTTTCTGGGGTTGTCTGGGCGTTGTGTGTCCCCCTTGCTGTGAGCGTGTGTGCTGTGCGACAGGGTAGCGTGTCTGTGTTGCGTGCCTCTAGATTGTGTGTCCCTGCTGCCGCTGCTTTGTGTGGGTGTGTATTTTGAGCCTCAGGACTCCCCTTTCCTCTCCGGGCCTCCCTTCCAAGGGGCCCAAGTCCCTGTCCTTGGCTGCCCCGGGGCAGGGGGTGTACTGCTTCAGCCAGCCCCCTTCCCCCAAAAGCCACTAATTGAAGCCAGGTTTTTGCGGGCTGCCCCTCCCCCTCTGGCCACCAGTCTCTGGGTGGGGGTGGGGCAGCGGCTCAGGCCCCTCAGCCTCCGGTCTGGGGCCCAAGGGGTGGATTTGCATCATCTGCGTATTACCCACCTCTGCTGGGGCCACGGCCTTCAAAACCACCAACCCTGAGTGACGTGGGCTCTGGAGGGAGGCCGTGCTCCAAGCTGGGGGTCCCGGCACAGTCCTGAGGTGCCCCCTAATTGGTCCCCACTCCTCACCCGGCACTGCGGCTTCCTGTCCTAACATTGGTCCAGGGGCGGGGCCCTTAGCCCCATCACACAGATGTGGAAGCCAAGGCCCTCAGAGGGGACGTGCTGAGCCTGGGCCCGTCAGACCTGCTCTCCGCCCGCGCTCTGCTGCCCCAGGTTGGGTGACCCCGGGGCAGGCCATTCCCAGTCACGGGCCTGAGGCTCCCCTGAGGCTCCCTGAGGCTCCCTCTGGTAAAATGAGAGGTGTTGGCCTGAGCCCGCTCCCGGGGGGCCTGCGGGCTTCTGAGCCCTGGAAGAACCTAGGGCTTGGGGAGCTAGGCTAACGTCTCCCAGAAGGAGTGGGGCCAGCTGGCGGGAGGCTGACCCCTTCGGGGCTGTCCGGGCCACTGGGCCTGGGGTACACAGGGGAAACTGAGGCCCAGAGAGGGCAGGGGCTCATCATTGCTTTTCAGGCCCAGCCGGCTCCCCCACACTTGTCCTGCGCCTTTCCCGGGGAGCCCCGCTGAGGGCTGTGGGGGCACCTGAGAGTCGGGGCCTCGGCCTCTAAGAGCCAGCGATCATTTGTGTGGCCTCTTTCCTTAACCTCCGTCCCTGACCCCAGGGCTGCGGGGAGAAGGCGGCCCTCCCCTCTTGTTGCTGGGTGTGTGTGTGTGTGTGTGTGTGTGTGTGTGTCTCTATGTATCTGTTTCCGTGTATCTGGGTGTCTGTGTGTGTCTGTGTGTGTGTCTCTGTGTATCTGTGTCTGTGTGTCTGGGTCTGCGTGTCTGTGTGTGTGTGTGTGTGTGCACGCACACGCGCGTGTGTATACTCCCCGGATTCCTGGGTGGTCAGGGTTGAGATTTCACTTAACAGGGTGAAAAAGCTGGTCATTTCCCGAGGCGGGGCGGCAAGGAGCCGGTTCACACAGCAGGTGGAGGTGAGCACCTGCCGGCCTGGTGTGAAGGTGGGGCTCACCCCAGGCTCTGCTGGGGTGGCAGGGTGGCTGCTCCTGGGCCCCAGCTTGCCGGGTGTGCGGCTACCCAGTGCCAGCTGCTCTCTGCACTTGTGTCCCCTGGCCCTTGTGTCTCTGAGCAGGACCTGCACTCACTGCTCCGCCAACCCCCCACTTTATAGATGGGGAAAGCAAGGCTGTGGGGGGCTGCAGCAGATGGCAGCACTGGCCCGGGGTGGGGCGGGGATCCTAGCTGTGCCCTGGCCTCTGGGGCAGGCTGCATGCCCCCCACTGCTTCCCCCCCACCCCCAACCCCCACCTCGCCTCGTGGCCCCCTGCGGTGGTGAGCCCCTTAAGCAGCCACCACGAAAGGTCTCCCTCAGCTTCATTTGCAAAAGGCAGGGAGGTGACCCGTGGACAAGGACCCCAAAGACCAAAGCTATCTGCAGGGACCTTTGCGGACAAGTATGGTATGGGGTGTAGGGAAGGCCCCCGGTTCCAGCAGATGAGTGATGTCCTTCAGGGGTGCTAGCTCGGGGGCCAGCCTGGAGCACATGGGAGCCTTCCCTACAGGAAGGTATTGTGAGTGTGTATGTCTCTGTGCAATGTATATGTGTGAACATGGGTGTGTGCCTGAGTATATGTATGTGTCATGTGTGTATATATATGCATAATGTGTGAGTGTGTGCATATGCATGTATGGTGTGTGTACATGTGCATGTGTGCAAGTGTGTGTATGTGGTATGTGTGTGTGTGGTGTGTAAGAATGTGTGTGTGTACACGTGTGTGGTGCCAGCGTGTGGATTCTCAGAGTCACATAGAGAAAGGTTAAAATCCCAGCTCTGACACGTACCATCTGTGTGTCCTTGGGCAAGTCATTGTCTGTCTGGGAACCTCCAGTCCTTTGTCTGCAAAGCAGAAGTGGACAGTGCCAGCCCCCAGTGTTGAGCTATAGGTGAGCTATAGTGTTGAGCTATAGTATTGAGCTATAGGGTTCAGCTATAGGGTTGAGTTATAGGGTTGAACTATAGTGTTGAGCTATAGGGTTGAGCTATAGGGTCTCTCTAGGGTTGAACCCTGGCAAAGGGGGCAGGGGCTTCACCTGCGATGGAAGTGCAGGGTCATTAGCTAATTTAAAATGAACCCCTGAGTAGTTTTGCTTCTTTTTATGTCCTAGAATGACCTTTTGGTTTTCTCGGTCATCTGAGCCAGTTTGTTCAAATAAACACCAGTACAATTAATTCCAATTAGTGATCCTTAATTAGGAGACCTCAGGTCAGTTGGAACAAGCTACTCCATGTCCTGACATTGTAACCACTTAGCTCCCTGAATCCCCACAAGTGACCCACAAGGCCGGTGCTGCCCGCCATGTGAGGACTGGCTACTCAAGGGGCCACACAGCCCAGGTGTGGGGAACCTGACCTCCCCTCCAGCCCAAGACCTCGCTCTGTGCCCCTGGGCCCCTGACACCTGAGAGAGGGCGTCAGGCAAGGGGATCCCAAGGCTTTTCAGTCCTGGAGCTTCAAGCCCTGCACAGGTCAGGGGGTTCTCAGGGACAGCCCACAAGGGGGGCACAGCCAGGGGCTTCTGGGTTTGTCTGAGCACCCAGCCCCCCTCAGGCTGTCAGGGAGAGCCCTTGTTTGAGAAGCTGGCCTCCTCCGCGAACCTGGACCATGTGGAATGTATTAGTCAGCCTGGCTGACTGGGCCAGATGGGGTCTGGGGGTTCACGTCGGGAGCAGCCTTCCAGCGGGGGGAGGAAAGGAGGAGCGGGGTTCATCTGGTTCCCATTTAGTGGTGGCCTAGGACTCGGGCTCCAGCAGGCTCCAGCTCTGTCTCAGGCAGGAGGGTTCCCCCCCACCCGCACATCCCCTCCCGGGCCTCCAGGCCCTGCTTTGCGCCTTGAGGTGAGGGAGGGCTAACCATGTTCCTGGCATCCAGGCCCTCTACTGAGCTCAGGGAGTCTGGAAGCTTCAAAACCTTCAAAGCACATCTCCTGAAGAAGGGACCAGGACCACAGAAGGACTGAGGGCTGCTGGGGAGGGTCGCCCAGAGGAGGAGGGGTCAGCTCCCTTAGCTACTCCATTTCTTTTTTTTTTTTTTTTTAAGATTTTATTTGTTTATTCATGAGAAACACAGAGAGAGAGGCAGAGACATAGTCAGAGGGAGAAGCAGGCTCCCTGTGGGGAGCCTGATGCAGGACTCGATCCCAGGACCCCGGGATCACACCCTGAGCCAAAAGCAGATGGTCAACCGCTGAGCCACCCAGGCGCCCCATTAGTTACTCCATTTCTTACTTACCCAGCCTGACCATCATTTCTCCCTCCATGCTCTGCCCAGATCTCAACCCCAGCTCTTGCTGGGCAGTGACTTCATCCCTCTGAGCCTCAGCTTCCATACTTGGAACATGGGGATGATACTAGTACCTCCCCCCATTAGGTGGTTCTCGGGAGTCGATGAAATTCTGTATAAGAAACTTAACATAGTACCTGGCACATGGTAAGCAATGAAAGGGTAACTCATTATTAATTCAGCCAGGTCAGTCAAGATACATTTATTGAGCACTTAGTGTATAGCACGTAGGGTTTGAAACCCTGAGGGTGCCGAGATAAATAGGATGCAGCCCCTGCCCTCCGGGACCTCAGGGTGAAGTGGGGTGACTCCCTGGGGGTCCCTCCAGGATGCTGGAATGAAGTGGGAGGGCAGGCAAGGACCCCCTGTAGGAACGAGCGGGTCCCATCGCATGGCCCGCGAGGGAGGTGGCCGGCTAGGAGGTGGTCTGCATTTCCTGCACCTCCCCAGGGCCCGCCGAGGCCCTGGAGTCCCACCCGAGCTCTCTCCTGCGTCGCTTCCCCACAGGTCTCGCCAACATGGTTTCTGCAGTGGCCCCCAGGCTGGCCGTGTCCCTGCTGCTGCTCCTCAGGGCCCTGCCCGCCGCGGCCTACTCCATGCCCCTGAGGGCCGCCTCCCTGGAGGACGCGGGGGGCAGCGGGGACACCGAGGGCTCGTCGGCCTCCTCCCCAAGCCCCCCGCCGCCCCGGACCCCGGCGCTCAGCCCCACATCGGTGGGAGCCCAGCCCACGCCCCTGGCGGGCCCCAAGCCCCCCACCAACTTCCTGGACGGGATCGTGGACTTCTTCCGCCAGTACGTGATGCTCATCGCCGTGGTGGGCTCCCTGGCGTTCCTGCTGATGTTCATCGTCTGCGCTGCCCTCATCACCCGCCAGAAGCACAAGGCCTCGGCCTACTACCCGTCATCCTTCCCCAAGAAGAAGTACGTGGACCAGAGTGACCGGGCCGGGGGCCCCCGGGCCTTCAGCGAGGTCCCCGACCGGGCCCCCGACGGCCGGCCCGAGGAGGCCCTGGATTCGTCCCAGCAGCTCCAGGCTGACATCCTCGCGGCCACCCAGAACCTCAGGTCCCCCACCCGGGCTGCCCTGGGTGGTGGGGACGGAGCCAGGCTGGACGGCAAGTCGGAGGGGGACGAGAGCAGCGGCCGGGAGGTGGACCAGGAAGCCCGGGGACGCGGGAGCCCGGCCGAGAAGCCAGCGGCGCCGGCCGAGCCCTGCCCCGCGGGGGCGGAGGGGGCCCTGGAGGCCGACCCCGGCCCAGGCCCAGGAGAGCCGGAGTCGGCCCCTGCGCTAGCCCAGGAAGCCAGGGGACCAGCTGACCCCCCCGAAAGCCCCTGTGCTTGCAGTGTCGCCCCCAAGGTCTAATAGGCCTCGGGGGCTCTGGCCCGGACTGCCCGACCCCTAGTGGTCACCTCCACGGGGGTGGAAAGGCCCCTGACCCTTCCCGCTCCCCGACACCCCCTCCTCGGCCACCCCCTGCTACCAATGCCCGTGGGTCCCGGCCCTGCAGTGGGCAGAGATGCTGGTCTCCAGTCTACCCCAGGAATCACCCCAGGTACCAGGGACACCCGCCCCTGCGGCCTCAGAGGGCTGCATCCCAAACAGCCTCTCTGGGGTGGGGGCGGATGGGAAGGATCCTCGCTGTATTCGTGATAACACACCCCACGAAATCAGCCACATCATCCGGGCAACGTATGTCACAGGCCCCCTGTGATGGTGCCAACGCTGCCGCTCTTCCACGGAGGTAGGAGAGAGAAATTAGGATAGCGAGGAGTTTTGGACGAGGGTGAACAGGACGTGTCAGAGGCCCCGGGAGGGGCGTCACTAGAGCTACTGCAGAAGCGGGCCTGTGAATCAGGAAGCTTCCAAGGGGCCTGTGCACACCTCATGACGCATCCCTAAGTGAGCGTTTCCAAGGCTGAGTTCCCTGGGGTACTCCATGGGAAAAGGATTTTGGGGTCCAATGAGTTGAGGAAACGCTGCCTCTCCGCTCCCTGCACCCTCCCTCCCCTTAGAGCACCCCAGGGCTCTGCAAATACTCCAGGAAAGGCCCCCCCGCACAATCTGGTTTGGCTTGATCTACCGCAAACTGCTTTTGACCACAGAGTACTTTTTCTTTCTTTCTTTCTTTCTTTCTTTCTTTCTTTCTTTCTTTCTTTCTTTCTTTCTTTCTTTTTTTTTAACAGCTACAGAATAAAAACTTGCAGAGCACACTCTGGAAAATTACTGCCCCAAATGTTCGTGAAGGCGCCCCCTAGTTGGGGTTGGGGGTGTGGGGCCTGGGGGCCTCAGCCTGCTTAAGTTCTTCCAAGCATCTCTGCCTGGGAACGAATTTCTCATCCCATTATTGGTACGGGCATGGGGGTGAATGAATCGAGCCTTTCTTGTCAGGCCCCCAAAGCAGCCCAGAAACTGGGGGTCTGTATGTGAGAGGGCCCCACTCTGGGGGAGTCTGAGGGGGTAGGGGAGGGCTTCTAACACCCGGCCTGGAGCTCATATGCCCTGGCCCCCCCCACCCTTTGCTCATACGCGATGTCTGGCAGCCTGTGCTCACAGCATTCTTTAGCCTTTGACAAGGGAGCCTGAGCTCCGTCTTGATTTGGGGAGGCTCTGGAGGGTCCTCCTCCTCACCCCTCCATCTGGGCCCCTCCCCCAACCTCTGCACAATTTTTTAGGTGCTGAAATATAGCAAACCAGCACAATAAACCTTTATTCTGGCCTGAGTGTCGCTGGTTTTCTGAGGGGATGGGAATGAGTCTGCTGGCAGGGGTGGGAGTAGAGTATTTCTTCCAGGCTGTTCCATGGGGTGGGGCTTTTGGGGGGAGACACATCAGGCAGGCCCCGAGAGGCTGAATGAGAAGATTCGAGAGGCTGAATGAGAAGATTCGTGAAAGGAACGTCGAAGGGGTTCCCACCTCCTTTTCCGGGAAACATGAGCAGGGGAAGAGCTGCCAGCCAAGGTTTCAGTCTCCCGTCTGCTGGCAGAGTGGCCGAGGACTAGAGCAGATCTCGCGGACAATGCCAGGCTCCTGGCACCCTTGGCCTGGGGTGGGAGGCAGCCCCAGCCTTTGTCTCCTCGCCCACCAGGCTCTTCCTTGCCTTTGATGGCAAGTTCCTGCAACCACTGCTGCCCCTCCTCCCTGGAGCTGCCAGCTGGAATCCAGATGTGGCTGGGCTGGGAGCACGTGCTGGATCCCCTGGGGTGAGGGGGGCAGGGAGGCTGTCCCCCCAGCTCCTCTCCTCCACTGACCCCACATCCCTTCGGGGGAGACCGGGTTTGGGTTTCATAACACACAAGGCCTCTGTCTCGCGCAGTGGGGAAGGGCACTCCCCCTCAGCCCAGACCGGCTCCTGCCCAAGAATGTAGGGAAAATCCAATATGGATAAGTGAATGCTGCGTGTCCCGGACCAAGTCACTCAGGGTCTCTGTGTGGGACAGGCTCTCCCCTAGTTTCTGAGGTCCTGCACGGTCGAGGTAATCGGGTGTGGCTGGGATATACATTAAGCTTCCCCATAACAAGTAAAGCCCGGGTAAGACAGCAGCAGATGTCGAGATTCCTGGGGAGCAGGCAGGGATGAATTTTGCAATCAGCAGTTCCCTGGCCACTGGTTCCCCATTAATTGTCACCGGGCCCATTAGAGGACACAAAGCGTGTGGCCTTAACGGTAGCCTGTGTCTTCCAGGACTGATGAGGGTGGGGATTCAGGAGGTAGTTTGATCCCCAGGGAGGGAGTCAACCTCTCCCTCACCTCTGAGCTTTTACAGCTACTATTCCCTCTGCCTAAGGCACCCTTCCACCTCTTTCCTTGTCTTGCTAACTTCCCCTCCTCTTTTAGCTTCCAGCCTAGATGTCACCTGCCCTCCCTGACAGCCCCCACCCAGACTCTCTCCCACACTCCCCTGGGCTCAGTACTACTAATAATTGCTCACAGCTAACGAGCACCTCTTACGTACCAGGCACGGCTCTAAGCACCGAACGTCATTTACTCCTTGAGACTCCCACCCTGAGGAGAGAGCCCTGCTGCTGTTTCCTCGTAGAGGCGGAAACAGGTCCACAGAGGCAGACAGTTGCCTGGGTCACAGAGCCGGGATTCCAGCCGGTTCTGATTCTAGTGTGACTTCTCCATCGGGCTCTACAGCTTTGTGGATGCGTGAATGAAGCCCTTGGGGAGGAGGAAGCAGGGGCCTGTTCCGCTTAGAGCCCTCCAGTATGCTCCCACATTTTAAAAAAAGATTTTATTTGTTTATTCAAGAGAAACACACACAGAGAGAGGCAGAGACACAGGCAGTGGGAGAAGCAGGCTCCATGCAGGGAGCCCAATGTGGGACTCGATCCCGGGACCCTGGGACCCCGTGAGCCAAAGGCAGATGCTCAGCCACTGAGCCACCCAGGTGCCCCTGCTCCCACATTTTGTCGGAGTCACGGGAAGGGCCTTCCCAGGACACGCATCTGGCCAGGCAGCAGCAGAGGGTGCGCTATGGAGGGGGCTGGGGGCACGTAAGCGCTGTGGCCTCATGAGGGAGGCTGGGCTTGTGGGTGGGGGCTGGGGGGTCCCCACTGTTAGCAGGGATCTGGGAATCTGCCGGGGCCAGAACAGGCCCCCACTGTCCCAGGGCTTGTAAAACCACACAGCTGCCCCCAGGCTGCGCATCTGTCTGGGGGCCAGGCCTGCTGTAACTCGGGCCGTACAGAGGGAGGGGGAGGGGAACAAAACCCTGTCAAGACGCGGACCCCCACTCAGTGCGGAAGTGGGGGCTTCTGGGGAGGTGTGGCGGGGGGCCAGCGGGGGGCAGGAGGGGCCTCTTCCAGGTGCCCTGACTTTCTCGGATCACCCCGGCCTCACCCGGGGACCGGCATCGCTGGCTCATGTCCCAAGCAAGAGCATGGGCAGAAGTCACTGCCTCCTGGGAGCTCTGTACCAGGCTCAGCGTCTTTAACCCTCTTGGGGTCATTAGGTGGTTTGAGCCCTGGGGACACTGCCAGGGTCAATGCAAGCTCCACCCTTCCTTAGCTGTGTGGCCTTGGGCAAGTGGCCTCACTTCTCTGGGCCATTCACACAGTCAAGACAACGGACATATCTGTCCCCCTGATTGTTTCTTCGTACCCCTTTTGTTTCCATGTGTGTAAAGGGAGATGATCCTACCCTACCTGGTAAGGGTCGCAGCCTGCACGTTGGGATTAACTGAGAACTTTTTAATATCATTAACTCCTGGGCTCCACCTAGATCATTAATTAATTAGGTAATTATTTAATTAAAATAATAAAAAATAATAAAATAATTAAAATCATCTCTATGGGCCTGAACTCACGACCTTGAGGATCAAGATTCGTGTGCTCTACCGACTGAGTCGGCGAGGCGTGCCTCCGCTCACCCAGACCAATTAAATCAGAGTGTCTGAGGGTACAGCTGGGCAATTGTCACTGCCTGTGGGTCTGTCCATCACCGTCTCCCCAGAACTGGGCAGGGTGGCCCGGTACACAGTAGGTGCTCAGTGTATGCACATGCATGCATGTGTTTAAGGCTGAGGGAAGCCCTCTGTGCCAGCACATCCATTTAACCCTCACCACACTCCCCACAGAGAGATGAGCAATATCATGACCCCCCATTTTATAGATATGGAAACAGAGGGTGCAGAGGCTTGCCCAATGTCACACAGATGGGCGTAGCTGGGATTTGAACCCAGGCCTGTCTGACTCCTCGAGCCAGGCCCTTCAGCACTGAGCCTCCTGCTCCATTTTAAGAACCTGTTTGTGGTTCTTCTACTGATGAACCTCTTCTGCTGAGCCCTTCTACTGAGGTCGGGGTGTCCGTTGCATTTCATCGTGGGTCCTGCTTCCTTGTTTTAACCCTACTCTCCCCCTCGGGGGGTTGACTGTGACTGCCCAGTGCATGCAGAGTCCTGGAACCACTGAGTCTGTCCCAGTTGCCATTAATCAGCTCTCTGGGTTCCAAGGTGGCCAAGGAGCAACTGCCAGGGTCATGGACTCTGTTTTCCAACCTCAGACTCTTTAATGAGCACCTACTGTGTGCCAGGGATTGAGGACACACCATTAGCACAACAGATCTGAGGCTATATGTGGGTGGAGGAGACAGAAAATGAATCAAAGAATCATCTAGGGGATCCCTGGGTGGCGCAGCGGTTTGGCGCCTGCCTTTGGCCCAGGGCGCGATCCTGGAGACCCGGGATCGAGTCCCACGTCGGGCTCCCGGTGCATGGAGCCTGCTTCTCCCTCTGCCTGTGTCTCTGCCTCTCTCTCTCTCTCTCTCTGTGACTATCATAAATAAATAAAAATTAAAAAAAAAAGAATCATGTAGATGGAACCACAGTGATTAATAACAGGAATGGCCGTCATAAATATATGTGCTATTGTATGTGTCTGGCGCTTTACTAATACTAGTTCTTTTTTAAAAGATTTTATTTATTTATTCATGAGAGACACACAGAGAGAGAGAGAGGCAGAGACATAGGCAGAGGGAGAAGCAGGGCACCCATAGACCCGGCTGCAGAGCCCGATGCAAGACCTGATCCCAGGACCCTGGGATCACAACCTGAGCCAAAGGCAGATGCTCAACCACTGAGCTGCCCGGGCATCCTCTGATATTAGTTTTTACAGCTTTGCTGAGGTATAATTGACACATCATAAAATCACACAGTTAAAATGTGCAATTTGATAATTTGACATACGTGTATACTCATAAAGCCATTCACACAGTCAAGATAACGGACACATCTGTCACCTCTGATTGTTTCTTCGTACCCCTTTGTACTCTGCTGATTGTTCCTCCCCACCTCAATCCTTAGACCACTATTGATCTACTCTCTCTGTCACTATGACTCATTTTTATTTTCTGGAATTTTTTATAAATGGAAACATTTGTGTGCTCTTTTTATCTGGCTTCTTGCATGCAGCATAAATATTGTGAGATTTATTCAGGCTATTGTATGTATTAAAATTTCACCACTTTTTACTGCTGAGTAGTATTCCCTTGTGTGGATACACTACAATTTGTTAATTCATTCACCTGCTGATGGACGTTTGGGTGGTTTTCCAGCTTTTGGCTATTACAAAGAAAGCTGCTGTGAACTCCTGATGTTAGTTTATTTCTTCCTTACAGCTTTCTTTTTTTTTTTAAGATTTTATTTATTTATGAGAGAGAGAGAGAGACAGAGACAGAGACAGAGACAGAGACACGGGCAGAGGGAGAAGCAGGCTGCATGTGGGACTTGATCCAGGGACTTCAGGATCATGCCCTAGGCTGAAGGCAGGTGCTAAACCGCTGAACCACCCAGGGATCCCCCTTACAGCTTTCTTAATGAGACGGTTGTTATTTCTCCCCATTTGACAGATGAAAACAACAGACTCAGAGAGGTCGGGTAATTTGCCCAAGGTCACGCAGCCAGCAGTTGAAACACTGAAACTTAGGGTAGGAATGTTTGAGCTAAGTTACTGTAGTGAACTTCTGAAGCTTGGAGGGTCTCAGAAATCCTGATCTAGACCAGTACCCCACCTCATACGTAGACATCTGAGGACCAGACAGGGGCTAGGACCCTCCAGAACTGACCAGGAATCTGGGGTCTTTGGTGGGCGGTCCTGTGCTGTGTCTAGCTCTGCTCTGCTCTGCTTCATCGCTGGCCCTTCACCTGATGCTGGGGAAGAAGCAGGCCAATGTGGAGTGGGACAGGGATTTGTCATTTTTTTGAGTGGTTTTAATTT